CCAATAGCAACAAAACTATCGTTAAATGCTATGACAACATCAATGTTTAAGTGAATAAATCAACTGTAAGCTGCGCAAAACTATGCCTCTTCATTGCTGCAGTGACAACGAAAAGGAAGATACTAACCTTTGAACGTAATAAATAATAAGCCATGCCAGTGACACAACCATCAGTATGATAAATGATACAGAAACGAATAAGACAGAAGTTTTTGAGAAACTTCGAAAAGTATCCGTATCAGCCTCATCGACCACTTGACAATCTGTTACAGCAACCTGCACTTCATCACTGACAAAAACAACACGTAGTCGACTGGTAAAATCCATTTTTGGTAACATATCTGCTTCATGAGTGCCACGTACCATAACAATCAACCAGATCTTAGAGTGTTCCGCAAAATTTAATAAATAGTTCAAAACTTCTTTGAGACCACTTTTACAACTGGTACAGTTTGTACATTGTGTAATAATTTGCTGAAAAAAAAAAAAAAAAAAAGAAAAACTATAATAATCTGAATTTTTAATAGAAAAAAATTTTCCCGTACAAAAAAAAAAAGTGGTAAAATATGTCAAATAAAATCTTTCAAAAATTTTTCATACAAAAAAACTTTTTTTTTTTCTATAGATAATTAAAATATTGTCAGTGAAAATTGCTCAGTTTACCTGGAAATGAGGTGCCGATGTCGGCAATGGAATCAATATATAAGGCACCTTATCGGTTTTCTCGCATACATTTCCTCCAACGACACGTTCAATTGGAATAAATGTAAATCTACCGTAGGAAAAATTTGTTTTCCTTAACTGTGGCTCCAACGAAAACTTATTATAGATAGTTCCAGCGCATTGTAAGACCTGATCTTGGAACTGCTAAAAAAAAAAAAAAAAAGTATAGTTTAAAATTAGCTGACGCTTTTTCACCATTGTTCTTCAGGTTTACCATTATAAATTGAACAATTCCACCACCTAATAACAACAGAAACTTATTTTGCAAATCTTTTACAACTTATAATTATCATACCGCTTTTTACAGATGTCTAAACAAATAGAGAACAGTGCAAAAATGCAAAAAAAAAAAAAAAAAA